AAACTAATTTGCAAAAGTTATTTAAAAAAGTACAGATATACTATAAAAATATATAAAAATAAAATAATTACATAACATTTTATTAGAATCTCCTCTCACTTGTTTTTTTTATTACAGGAACATCTCGTATAATGCGGATAATCGGTTCCGCACTGTTTAAAATCAGACTAATCGAGATTTTTAAAAACGAAATAAAATAGAAATGAAATACTATCATTTATGTAAGAAAAGAATAATTAGTAATTTTTTAGAATTAGTAAATTCGCACTGATTGAAGTCGCACTAAGCGAGGTATTGTCGTATTTTATAATATGAAGTAATTTTAAAATCTTGATCAAAAGAATTTTATTTCCCATGAAATGCTCACTATTTTTATACATTTAGTATAATTTTAGACATCGATACTTTAATAACACTTTTCTATTTATTTATTTTTAAGTTAAACAATCACATTGTAAGATTCTTTATCTTTTTTGCTTCGAGAAGTTCATCAAAATATATAATATATATTGTTAATGAAAAATTCTGTATTAATTACTAAAATATATTATTCACTAAATACTTTTTGGTTTCGTTTATTTGTTATTATTTGTATGATAAATAGACATTTATTTTTGTTAACTTTATGTGACTTTTACAATAAAAATAATTAAAAATATATTTTTATGCAATAAACTAACATAATCTATAATATCATATTTTATGATAAAAATGGAAATTTATATTATTAACACAAAACAATAGTCAATTGAGCCTTGCATTTTCATGCTTATTTGCAAGTTATTGTTGTCAAACAAGCGTATGATCGACTAAATCCGATTAATTACCATGCTTGTTCGTAATCAAATGATTGAATTATCCCCGATTAATGCACATTCAAGATAGCATAAATCATTATGTAAAATTTTCACACGAATTTTGTATTTCCATTTGCACATTCATAGCATGTACGTCACATAAATTCATAATTTACGTCTATATATCGTGTACATTCTTTCCGTTTTTTACAAATGATATAATTATCTGATCTTTAACTGGTTAGAGGTTAGTTGAATGACTTCAGTCTTGAGTCGTAATTACGCCTAATTTTTTATTAAGAATTCTAATGAATCGCCAGTGAATAAACGTTCGTTCGTGTTCTTCTCGTGAAACGATTATATAAATTACGACAGATGTGGTTTATTTAATGGACAATTAGATTTAAGACAGAATAATTTAATATCAACTTTTTTTACTCAGCTTTTCTAAAGCAATGTAATTTCACGTCAGTACAAAAGTGATGAAAATGTATGGTGCTTTTTTTTTCTTCTTTAATTTAAGTAATGGCCTATTAAAAAGACAGAGCAAAAAAGAAGAAAACGGTAATTGTATTATTATTTTTATAAGGAGAAAGTATTTTATAGGTAGATGTTAAAAAAATCTTAACATCAACAGGAAAATTGCTACTTTAGACTCATCAAACGCAGGAAACGGACTATTAGACAAATCAGCTTCAAAACATGAAATGCGTTCAGGTGCATTTTTAAGACCAACATTGAAATAATGAAAACAAAAAATAAAATCAAATCAAATAAATTCATACTTTGTGTAATATTTTTTTTCTTAAACCACATAAAATTAAACAACACAAGAAGATTTATTTTTGTAATGCTCAATTAAAATTTAGCTTCTTTTTTAATTTTCAAATCGTACTATTGTGAAACAGAAAAAATAAATATAAAAACTCATGAAAAAAGCATTAAATAAAATTAGCATAATAAATACATACATACATACAAACAAAATATTATTTCATTTAATGAAATATATAAATTTAATTAAAATTTTAATTATAGTTATACGAAACGCAAAATGTAACATTAATCAGAAATATTTCATCACTTCAAACAAAGCACGATATATATATATTCATGAGGAAGGAGTATTTTAGAGAGTCCATAAAATAGATCCAAAGGCTAAACTAGAAATATCTCCGTTTCTTACAATCCTTAAACCTAGAGACAAATGGTTTCTTTAACTGTAATTTTTAACCCTCCAGCTCCTAGCGTGATCATACAAACTCGTAATTCATTTCCTTTTAAAACTGACTGTAGGACCTGCATGAAAATCCAACAAGCACTAACTAAAAATAGATTGGCTACTGTATCAGCCTTTTATTATATCAATAATTATGATTATTCTTACAGATATTTCCTATAATAATTGACTTTTTTTTATCATTGAATAAAATAAAAAAAGTAATTGTATAGTTTATTTATAATTTGTTAATTATACTAATTTACTTTATTTCTTATTATATCAATTATTTAGTAACAATTTGAAATTTCATAATAAATCTTACACGTAATTGTATGTAATAATCGGTATATTTTTGCAATTCAATTCTTTTGAAAAATATTATTTGAATAAGTAATCCAAATATTTTTCCAATAATCAAATAGTTATGTATATTAAATTTATAAAAATAATTATAATAATTTGTAATGCACATAAGATATGTAAGTTGAGTTTTGTCGAAGAATTGAAGATTGAAAGTTAATATTTCATTACGTTCAGCACTTGTTCAACGACTAGACATTTCCGCATACCAAGATATTTGCGTTTGCTACCGATGGAATGCCATGAATGATTGGTTTCAATCGTGGATTTATTTCTTATTTGAGTGTAGCTGTTCAAAATGTCTTTTTCATTCATTCATCTCCAACATCTGCATGCGAACCTCGGCGATCGCCTACACAAGCAATTGCACTCTGCTGTTCTTGGATGAATAAAATCAAAGCAGATGCTCACAAATGTTTGACTATTCCGAGATAAAATGAGATGAGCTTGAGATGAAAATCTCATAAGAAAAACACTTCCTTATATTAAAGCTATATATAAAATAAGTAAATAACATTAATTTAAACAATTTCTCAATGAGTTAAAAAAAATATATTATTTACTGATAAAATATATTTTCTATAATTATTTTACATTTTGCCCACAGTCAATATCAGTAGATAAAAGGTAAAATTATTATTAAAAAAAGTTATGAATATATAAGAAAATACATTTAATTCCCTGTACATTATTAGTATAAAACTGTTAATTATTTTACTTTATTCGTGAGTTCAATTATCATACACTTAAATAATACCACTACTTTATAACTAGTAAAATTTAAGAAAATAACAACAAATTAGGTCCAAAATATATAATTCAAAATATGCATCCTGTATTGTTATAGATGGATTTTAATTTGCATTTTGAAATATATGATACGGGTATAATAAAATCAAATAATAATTTATGGTCATTAAAGCTTCAGAGTTGTAATGAATATAATTATGTTGAATAATCATTAAAATCCCCTGAATAGTTACAAAAGTTACACGAAACGGCGCTATAATCGAATTCAAATACAGTAAGACCTCGTTTAGCGATGTCTAGTTTAACGCTGGTTTGCTAAAATGTGGTTTGCTGGAAACATTATAAAAGCGCCCGAATACGTAGCGCTTTGCTTCCTCAGAATCTATGCTTGTTTGAGATGTAGATGAGCAGGATATTAAGGAGTAATTGCAGGTTTCTGGTGAGAGCATTACCAACGATGACCTTCAAGAACTGGTAGAACAAGGAATTGAAGAACGCGAAAATAGTGATTCTGATGACGATGAACCAAAAGAACTTGCTACAGATTTTCTTAGAAAAAGTTTAGAAACAATAACCGAAATCCTTGATCAAATTGTAGGGAATTTCGACAGGAGTGCAAAAGCAAGAAGAGGAGTTTTAGGTGCGATCGCCTGTTACCAATATTTGCTTAATAAAAGAAAAAGAAAGCGACAAATGACTAGACGATTTTATCGCCAAAAAATAAAAAATATCAGAATAGCCAGGACCTTCATCACAAAAATAAACTTAATATTTTTGTGTGCATATGTTTGTGATATATAACGCTGTTCCTTTTAGCGCTCTAAATGTCTTAGTTTAGCGCTAAATGAGGTTTTACTGTATTTATTTAGTCTATTTTTTAACGAATTACATACATCCATTAAAACGCATTCCACATTTATATAAATGAAATGATTCATTAAATCGTAATGAACAAAATAAATCATTATGTTTAATTCAATTTATATTACATTTTCGAATATTTTTCTAAACGAGAAGATATTTTTAGTTAAATGCGCTTTATATTTGAACTTACAAATGGTCAAATTTAATAACAATTTTATTTATTAACGTGCACGTAACGTCAATAGTATTTGTAAAAGGCGTTCATAAAAGAAATTGTTCCTAGAATGAACGTTGATAGAATAAGTTTTTTTCCACTTTGGGTTCAAATGGATAATAGTTATTGTTGCATACTGCAATTTGTTAATGCAACAATAAACTAATAAACACGTTTCGGACCATGGGACGGCAATTGCCGTTGTTTAATGAATGTTGTGCGTGTTCTATCGTGGCGACATCCACTTATTTTCTTTGTTGTTGGTGCCATTATCAATCAGTAGGGTTCTAAGTACATCAGCTCGAGTAGCTATGTAGTATAGAAAGAAAAAAACTTTGTCTATATATAAGTTTATATATAGTTTGTATATATAGTATGTATATAAAGAAAGTGAGACGGAGGCATGTTTGCACCATCATCCATACAACAATGACCAAAACGAGGAAAAGAAACGAAAAACAGATTACAGCCGTCCCTCGTGCGCGTTACAAAAATGGAAATATAATTATTCAGAAGAAAAAAAAAGTTACATAAATGGAATGTCATTAACATAAATCGATTCTAGTATTTTGCGTGACAATGCAACTACAGCCAGAAATTGGAATCTCAAGGGACACGAAAAAAAAATATTTCCGAACATTTTGCGGAAAATACAAAAAAAATGGTAATAATTAATCCCAAAAAAAAAATGTCAGTGTTCCAAATGAATGTTGCGTGGCGTATTTTTACTGTAACGCATTTAGCCCTTTATTGATGAAAGCAATAAAGCGTAATAATTCATTTATTTACTCACCGCAAAACAAATTTCATTTAATCATAGAATGAAAAAATAGGAATGATCGTGAACTGTCAGTTTAAAGTTAAATGATACTGAAATGTTTCCGCTTGTTGATGTGTTTATTGTTCATATGCGGTGTTTTGTTTGGTCGTGGTTCATGGTTTTCCGTCACGTGTTTCTCGTGGTAGTCCCGGTTAGAGGCCGTACTTCGAAGTTGTTCTTCGCATGCAAGCCGGACAGCAACTGCCGCCGCACGAATTCAAAACCTGTCAGCAGGAATATTTCCGGTCCGCGCAGTTCGGTGCTGCCATCTGTGTTCCTGGCACTCGACGCGCGGTTAACAGGATTCGCGCGACCGGATGTTACCTGCAGGATGGTGGAGGTTCCTGTAGGGTAGTTCCGGAGGACCGGAAGACATTGATTTTTTCGATCAATAATATATGAAGATTCTTATTAAATTCTCCGCTACACCTGCTAATAATACCTGATATTGCGTTCGCAATTGTTTGGAATGGAATTACACGGCAGTACGGAATGTTCCATTTATATGCGCCATATTCCTACGCAGATTGAAGCACTTTAATTCGTTTCATAATTAATACATTTATTACCTTTATTTTAATTTTATTGAGAACAATACATTTATACAACAATGCAGGAATATTTTCATAAACTTTTTAACTTGAAAAAACCAATTGAAACTTGAAATTCTACAGGTAATTGGAAAACAATTTTAAATAATAAAAAGTTCAAAAAATAAAGTTTAATAACAATAGTAATTATAGCAATATTTAGTATTATATTAATTAACTATTTACATACATATATCATTAAATTGTTTCTTGTTGAAATTTTCTAAGCATATAAAATTTAATCAAAATTATTTCAATAATCTACAGGTATTTACAAATCATCAATAACAATTAAAAATATATACACAGGATAGAAAAACCGTCCTATTATTTATTTTATTTAATAATATTCATTTTCAATAATAATAAGAATTACACAATTAAAAACCAAACAAAAAGTAGGAAATGTTGTAGTTTGAAATTATAAATTATTAAATACATGAAAAAGTATAATAAGTATAATATTTTAAAAGATACCTAACCAAACTTCTGAAGACAAGTTGCAGGAAAGTTAAGGATAGGACAAATCCAGATGAAAATACTACAAATAATAATAATTTTTATTTAACTATGCTATTTTTTTTAGATATAAACTATACGATTTGCATTCAATGTATTTAAGTTTAAAAATTATTTAAAAATACTATTTATTTTAGAAAGATTGTTAATATAAAGAGCTAATTAATAATTTAAAATATTTAAACAAAATGTTAAATGAACGTTTAAGATGACAAAACTATATGAAAATTAAATAATTTATCTGCATTAATACAGTTACTCTTACCTATATCACAGTCAATGGAAATAGTGGAATCGCAGAGCATCAATATACTACTGAAATTAACCGGGAAAGATTACCTACCTAATGTCAACCGCGATCTTAAATTTACTCAATGTTCACATTCATGAACAGTTTATCAATAAAATTACTCGACATAAAAAATATATTAATGGAAACTTTAGGAAGTAAAAATAAATAATTAAATCAAAGATCGGTGAACGTTATTGCCTATTGCATCTATTTATACGAAACATACAATTATACACATAATTATACAAATAAAAAAATTGGGGCTTTTTAATGTCAGAACAATTTGGATACAATCTTAGCGGTTCAATTGATATTGAGCTGTTGTTGAGAACAAACGTTTCTTTATATCAATTACTAAATAAATAATTAATGTTTTCCCATTTTACACTATAAAATAAACAAGATGTTCCATGAAAATTTCAGGAGTGTTCCTTTACAGGAAAAGTTTGCTTCATTTGATTTATATGCTCAAAAGTAGGAGTGTTAAATTCAGGATAAACTAGGAGAATATATTCCCAAATAATGTTTTTAATAAATATAAAGGAATATGCAAATTTAAAATTCAGAACTGTTCAAAAGCCCTCGAACCTGTTAAAAACCTTATCAAAACAAAAGCAAGTTATATTAATAATACACCTAAACGCCTTAGTTATGAAGTTATTTTAAAAAGTTAAGTATGTACAGTTGTCAAAATTAGATATGCATGAAGAAAAAAAAAGTATCAACCATTAAAAGAAAGAATTATAAGAACATTCAATACTGGAATAGGGTACATGTGGAATACTAAAATTTGGGAAGTATATTTGGATTTTGGGGAATACAGAATTTGGAAAGTAAAAAAATAAATTTAATGGATTATTTGTCGAGAAGAGAAACAATTTTGGTTTTTGAATAAAATATAGCATTGAGCAGATCACGATTTTATAATTAAACGATATATTTTCCATTTAATATCGACAAAATCATCAGAAATATAACATTTTTTTGTATTATTTTCATGTGTTTTATTTGTTATTATTTGTCGTAAAATTTTTCGTCATATTAATATTATAATAATAATATTCAAAGGTGAAAATATTGTTTTGTTGGAGCGACATACTCACATCAAACAAGTATGAGTCTTTGGAAACATTGTTTGAATTCCTGGCGATTCAATTTGGAAATGCGTACGGCTTTATTGGATGCTGTTCAGCTCTGCCGTGTTGTAATTATAACCTGGGCAATAAAAGCTCACTTGATGCGAAGCCGAGGGTCGCTTAATATTGCATATTCTATCTTTCGAGTTCGGTCAGCAGCCTAGCAACCCAACAATTTCGATAAATTATTCAAACTTTGCACCCTCTGACTCGCTCGGAGATAGACGCACAACACACAGGTATGCAGCGGATCTATACTATCACGAAAACCACAATGCTACTGTCTATCCCCCCCGGAAAGGCACAGGATATTTGATTATTCAAAGGCGTATCTCTTATTCATAGTTTGAGGGAATGAAACTATTTTATTCCATTTAAATATTTATGGCAATATTATTTCTTTCCTAATTTATATTAAGCTATACATATAAATTTGGTTATAGAAAAGGCAATTTACCAAATGTACGAATAATTATGTTCATGTAATGGCAATAAGAAATAATTATATTACTTACCTTAATGGTGCAGCAATTGACTAGAATGATTTCCATAATGATATCTATTATCCAAAAGGAACAGAAGAATTCATGTCTGTAATATAGAGATTTTACACTCGCGGAACCGAAATATAATTTCACGAATTATAATTGTCAGTCACAACTAACGTCAATTTAGACATTGTTACTATGATAGGGAAAATATAATTTTGCTTTCAAATATGCGTTTTATAATTTTTGTTCTAATTTATAATATACATTGAAGTAATTAATACAAATTATATTTTTTTTTGAATACTAACATGAACTTTATATTAAATCATAACACTCCTTTTATATAATAACATAGTACAAATTGTATTCTATTTTCATAATCATTTACATAATTTTATTATAAATGTACGTGCAATTTGTTCAATTAACTTCAAAGGTAATGATAACAAGATAATTAATATTTAGTACATTTGAATATCAAAGAACATAGATCTTACATTAACCCAGAATACATTTTCACTTGTAATTTATATTGTTTTAGATACGTTTAAAGCCTACAAATTCAATCGTTATTTTCAATTACATGTAAAAAAACAAGTATCTGAGACATGATTGTAACATAAAATATACGGTAATTCATAAGACTTACAGAAATGAACAGAAAAATAAGAAATTAGTTAGTTATAGAGTTAAATATAGAGAATCTATATATTAAATAACATTAATAATGTTGTAAATAATCAATGATATGGTTTTTACTAAATGATACAGTCGTTTTTAGAGATAAAATTGTCGTTTTATTAAATAAACAGACAAAACATACAATGTTTGATTACATTTTAAAATACGAGTCTAATGTTGATTGTTGTACCTTCTTTCACTATTTCTTATATAGTTTTACATTTAACACTGATCATAATAAGTATTTATTTATTTTGATCTTTCACTGAAAAGCCATTATTGTTTGTTTATCTAATTCTATAATATTAGAAACATTTCTATAATTACTTTGTAAAGACTATCAATATTTCGACTTATAAAATCCTGCAGTAAATTCAACTCATATTTAGTTTAATTACATATAAAGTTTTGAAAGTTAAAAAAAATAACTTCTAATTTATTAAATTTATTAAGATTGTACAAAAGAAAATCAATATTCAATTTGTATAATAAGTTTTTTAGATTATTATTATTTTTTACTTTTATCCTATAATTTGTTACTATGCGGTCCTTTAGTTTATTGCGAATCAGTGTTATTTATATGTTTTATTTTATTTTTAAATATTCTTATATTTAAACATTTCTATATCCACTACATTTATAGCGTTTTTCAGGTCTATGTCTATATTATCTCTACCTCTAGTTCGATATTTGTGTTTCTACTTCTATTTGTACGTAGTTCTATATTTTGTTTTTTATTTTGCGTATTAGTGAGTTTGTTTGACTAATTATTTATTTCTTATATCAAATAAAGAAAGACAAATAATCAGTTATTTGGTACTAGAAATTCCCAGCATTATGTTTTTATTTTTTTTTTGTCTCTACAATGTTATTTTGTATTTTTGTAGTATACATCTACAGCAGGGTTTCCCAAATTTTCTTGCAATGAAACACTTCGTAAATGATGAAATTTTCACGGAACATCATGTTTATTTTGTAGTATAGAACAATGAACAAAATTTAAAAAATGAGAAAAAAAAACATTCTTTATTTATTTAGTCATTCCAGGATTTTACGCAAGACAAGTACACTAGATTAGTTTTACACTAGACTTAAACTATTTATGTAGTTTCATAAGAAGCTAGATATTTTTTAATTATCTTTAGGATTTACAGAATGAGCAAATTGTATGTCTTAATATAGATACAGGAGTATACTAATAATTTAAATTAGTCTACATTATGTTTGATGAATGTTTAACCATGGGTTTTTAGTACAATATGAATTACATTCTGCAAGCAAATATATTCATTGAAGCTACAATAAGCGAAGGAATTAATCACAATGCTCAGATGGCATTAATATTAATACAGCACTGGTAAACATGGAATCATTCATTTGGTTGGATTGTGTCTACGTGTCTCCGTGCATCCGCCTCCATAGGCTCATCTTATATATTTTCTTCGTACGTAATTATAACGACGATATTTCGCTCCAAACAGTA